AAAAACGCAACAAAAAAATTAATATCTAATTTAGTACAGTTGTTCTAAAGTTATGTGCGTTCAGGTATTTTGTCATCCTGCGGTTTTTACTCGGACTTAACCTACAAATCTTGCGTTTTTCTAAAATAAGAACATCCGTCTGAGTGTCCTCTTATTCCTCTTGAATTCCAGGTATCTCGCTAATTATAATACGCAATTGACGTGGAATGTTGGAACGTGGAGTTGGCATAGCCAACTCCAAAGCAAAAACACTTCTTTCTTTGATTACTGGATTGTTTTATAGCACTTATGTAGAATATATTAATTTGCTACAGAAATGTCCAATTGCCAAAAATAAATTGTTAAGGGCCATCTTCGAATTCGACGACTTGAGGTGCTTTTGGAGCATTTCTCATCTAAGGAATCTACACCTCCCTTATTCTCATTATAATAAGAAGTAATTTGTGGTTTCGTAGTAGAGGCATCACTATAACGTCTATTATGCATTAAAGATATATGTACTGTAGCCGTTCCCACTTTTCCTACATGAAAAATTACGGTACATTCTTCCCTAAATCCATAAATTTTTGACCCTTCAGGTCTGTTTCTGTTGGGCAGAAAAGATGGAGGTATTTTAGCTTTATTTTTTTTTTTCAGTGTGCCGACATGTCAAATTTTTCTTCCACAAAACATCCACTAATTGAATAGAAGAATACCAATTATCACCTGTGATATTTCGGTTGCTACCAAAAAGCGGTTCAGCTAAGCGCTACATAGCTGGTGTAGGCTTTAGAAATTTTTTGTACTCGTCACTGATACCAAATCCATCTGAGTCTTTTCCGCTGTAGATGTAAGCATTATACAAATACCCATTACGTGCATCCCTAAGACACTGTATTTTGAGTCAGTATTTAGCCGGATTGTTAGGCATGCACATTTTAAACCGGCATATACCTCGAAAACTTACAAGCATTTCATCAATTGTAGCAGATTGACCAAGTCCAAATACACTTTGACAATTTTCTATGAAAGTATTGAATATAAATGAAATAGCTGCAGTTGAATCGTCTATTTTGCGTTCCTTCCTGTCTTCAGGATTGTATGATGGATAGAACTAGCAGAATATTTCTCACGCATTGCTCGTAATTTTATGTTTGTATTCTGCTCAATATGTTCTAGAATGTTATCACTGAACAATATATTCCAAACAGAAAAGGGTATTTCTGCGTCGCTCAGCATTTTTGCCTTTGTTTTAGAATGGGCGCTTTAATGACTATATTATGTGTTTTAGATGAAGGGATAACTTCTGACGTAAACCATTTGTGTCGATTTTTACCATAAACATACTTTTTGTTACCATCACTAACTTCTAATTCATCACAATTTGCAGGCTCGTCAGATCCCAAAAATTCCCATGTCTCGCGTTCAGATTCAATGTTATGGTCTTCCGAAATATCTTCTACACCACTGTCACTATCACATTTCTCATTGTACCGCTTTAAAAGAGTTTCCTAATAGTCGTCATCGCCGAAACGCACCCGTTGTGATGGCCCGGCCATTACTTCTAAAAATGCACAACATACAAAAAAGTAACACAAACGGTCCGACGTCGTCTGAGCAACTACTCTCGACCTAACTGTTGCCACTACTTTTTAGGAACTGACAGAAACTTCTCTCAAATACACCCACTTGTCAAGCTCGAATAGTTAAAGGATTAGATAAAACGACTTGCCTGTCAGCGGTGCCGATTGCCAATAAGAAAGAATTAAAAACATTGAATCGTCTGTCAGACGACGCCGGACCAGTTAAGGGTTAAGACGTTTTAGATTTTCTGAAGAAATTGTTCAAAAGAGGGTATGTTGAATAATAAAATACTTCAACTTTCAAATTTAGATTGCTTCTATAGTAAGCTAAGCGTTTTTCAATATAATCATCGTACTATTATCTCTAATGCTTGGTCATAAAATAGTTGTATTGTCTTTTGTTACTATGTCTTTCTTTATCAAATTTTTTTTCAGGTATGGTTTCTACGTTGCATCGAATGTACTACAAGCCTGCTCTGCTACTATAATTGAGAAGATACTCAGTGAACATGAAACTGTCTTAACCATAAATCAAGTTATTTATCTGTTGAATAAAAACGAACGGCTATTCAACATATACGTGGACCATTGGGAATCTATATTCAAAAAACCTTATAAAGAAAAAAATGTCATAACTTTATTAGCTTTTAAATATCCAAAATTGTTTCTAGAGTTGTACCGTAATGAAAAAATCTGTTGCGACAAATTAACAGCTTCTGCCAGTATCAGTTTACTTACCGTTCTTAAAGAAGAACTTTATAGTGATTCATACAGATTTGGTAAAATACTGAATGCCAGAAAATTAGTTGGAAGTCTTGGGTCAGAATTTCAAATATTTTGCAGACATCTGATGCCAAATAAGTTTGAAGATTTAAATGGAAATTCTTTATGTTTTCAACTCTTAAAATATGTTCCCAGAAAAACAAGATGGGAATTATTTACCCAATCATTAAATATTGTTTTTCCACACAAAACTATTAAAAATTTTCTGGAAATTATTGACGAGACTATTTTAAAGTTGAATCCAGGTAAGGAATTAATACACCAATGGGCTAGAATCAAGTATGAGAACAGTTCCGATGACAACTTTTTGCAATACTATCCTAGTTCTGAGTCCATTCCAGTTATCAAGGAAATGATAAACCTCTGCTCTGATATGCGAAATAGGCAATCTTTAATAAAACATTTGATTAGCACATGTGCCCACAACAATGATTTGTTGTCTTTGGATAAGGTTTTGGAGTATATAGTTTCTAGACACAAAAATGAAGAACCCCATGCTTATATGAGACAAATACAATTTTTACTTACGGCTTTTAAAACTGAAGAGTTTACTAAAGAACACTGGAATTTTATACAGCAACAGCTTGTTCTGATGCGTGCAAAGGATGTTGTTCATTATTCAGAGTATATTGATATAGAGGTAGCATTTTTGGAATACGCATACAAAAATGATCGTAATGCTTTCAAATTAGAAGCTATCGAGTTTATGAAACGTGCATGTGATAACTCGTGGAATTATAAACGGAATTTCGAGAATTCTAAATTGAAATATGAAATCTTTCTAGAATTAGTGTCGTGTCTTAAAGAGGTACCATCAACATCTGTCTATTACAACGATTTTCAAGCTTGTATAATAACTGATTTGGTTGATTTGTGCAAAAATTATCCCGAAAAATGTATTAATATATCGGACTATCCAGAATTTGTGTCTGTCATTGAAACAATATTGGCAAAAGATGAAGAATTTAGCTATAGCGACTTTCAAGTTATATCGTCGATATTAACTTATAACATGGAATTTCCACAGTTCGCTTTGACTTTTTTAACAGAAGAAAAAGTATTGAAAGTATTAAAAAATATTGCAAATATATATAGTATATGGTCTTTTATCGAGTCTCTTACTTCAAAGAAATGTTTTTCAGTATTAGAAACAAACATTCTAACTTCCTTGATTGACCAAGTTGATGATAATGGATGGGAATTGAGATATATATTTAAATCCTTAGTTGTACATCACCCAAAAATTATTTTGAAATATATAAACAAAATTGGGTACTCAATGGAATTTTGCAAGGAAATGAAGCATTATTCTCATTTGGAACTTGATAAGAAGATCTGTGATTATTTTATAAATGATTGGCCGGAAGCAACAGATGCAAGAAAAGAAACAGCTTTAAAGATTCTTATACAACTACTAGACGAGGACGAATTTACTAAATTTTTTAACGAGCACTTAAAAATATCTTTAACTAAACATGAAAATACTGATGAGATTGTCCTCAATAAAGTTCAGAAGCAAATACTATGTTCTTTTAAAGAAGTTTTGCTTCCACAGAAATACATACCTTTGTTATTAAATGCGTGTGACGGAAATTTCCAGGAAGCTGCACTACCTTCTTTTTGCAGTTTATTTGCAAGATCTCCTGAAAAAGTTCTTTATTCTTACATTGAAAGTATGTTTAAGCAAAATCCACAAATGCAAGAATGTAGCTTAATACTAAGTAACCAATTTTTGGAGCAAAATTATGTTGTTAAATTAATCAAAATCATAAAACCAACCTCTTATTGTACTCTTAAATTCATATGCTTGTTTGCACTAAAACTTTTCGTTAAAACAGAATTTGAAGATGTATTAAATTTATTTATAAACTTTACGAACATGTTTGAAGAGTATGATAGAGGGATTTTTTCTTCTTTTATAAAAACGAAAGTGTCCAAGAAATATGCTTCTCGATATATTGAAACTTGCTGGAACATGATCGAACGTTTCATGTTAGCCAAAAAGAAAAGTTACGACTTTTTGGACAAATTACTTGCACAAACATTAGACGAAGAAGTTGTAAAATCTCTGTCGTCAACGTTTGTTAAAAATATAATTACAAAATATTTCACCGAAGGTGATAAACGTTTGTCCAATATCAATTCCTTCGTCTTGTATTGTTTAGCCTATCGAGAAGAAGATAATGAAATTAATTATAAAATGATATTTCAAATGCTTGCTAAATTGAGCAAAGGAAACATTTGTTTATTCTGTTACAATTTCGTAGAATTTCAAAATAATATAAATCAACGATCATTTGTTGATAATTTTATACAACATTGGAAACAGAACTTCGTTGCTAAGGATACAATCAATGAACACGTTATGCTGAATCTGCTGTTCAAAAGTATGAACGAGTCAAAAGAAGATTTTGCGAAAAGTGTTGTAGATTCTCTTCTACGATCAATTTCTGATGTGGGTCCTTTTGTTTATCTAGTTTACGCTAGAAACTTGGACGAGTTACTCAGTAAAACCAAACGTTTTAATATATATGATTTACTACATTTAATGTTATTATACAAGCCGTCATCAACAATATATATTTTTGTACTTAATCTTTTAAAGCCTGTAGATGATGAAGAAACTGAAGAGGTGAAAATTACTTACAAAAGTATATTAGGTATATTAAAAGACTCAAAAGAACCTATTGTAAAATGTTGTTATGAACAGTATGTTTATAACAATAAAAGTGCGTTCTAATAATCTTATTAGCATTCTCAACATACCTATACCTTCTGCAAAATTTCATGATGCATTTGCTTCACAAATGTTTGCATATTCTCACTAACGTTGCTAATTACATTATGTACTATAATACGATCTGGAAATTGTACGGAGTGATTTATTTTTAAAGTATTTACAGCTACGGAGTAAGAGCGGAAAGACGTGTGTAAGACCATAGACATGGAGGTTGTTGAACAAATATTAACAGCAATTATATTAATATTTAATTTTGAAAAGTGCCTCAGATTTTCGTGGATAAAGGGGCATCATCATCGATTTCCGCAGAAATTTACCTTAATGTTTGAAGTTAACTCCAAAAGAAAGTGAATGATTTTTTTGACGAATAAACCTTCGTACTTCATCATCCAAAAATATTGGTTTGAGGTCTTCTATATAGCGTCTACTACGTTAGATAAAAAAAAATAAGACAATTTTCAGTTAAATGTTCAATACTGCAATACATTTTAACAAAATCAATAATTGAATATTAATTTGTTAACTACGCTTAAATTGAAAAAAAAATATTTTAGCATTAATTAAAAAATCAAATATGGTAACAAGTAGTCTGAATTAATATCAGGAAACGTAATATTACATATTTGCAAATAATATTATACCAGGCATGTATCCCAACAAATTCCAAAATAATATACACAATCTCTTTTAATAATCAGATAGATATAAATATGATAAATAAATAAAACTGATTTCAACTGTAACCAATGTAATTCAACCAGTCTTAATAATTAAATGTTTATTTAAATTATTGCAGTATGTATTAGACTATAATATATAATTAAATGTTATACTTTTGTTATTTCAATTAAAAGTTTATTTTTATTGGCTGCTAAGAAAAGTTTTTATATTTACTAGTGTTTTTTATTAAAAAATCTATTAATGCCTCTAGTATTTTTTCAATTTACCTTAATAGGATTAATAAGAAAAAATAGAGAATATCAAAAGAACGGAAAAGGTGGAATACAGAGATATTAGAAAGTGGAGAAACGTAAACATAAATACCAGATAGAAATCGACGCCCCAGAAGGAAATAATGATATATGTATACTTTAACCTGGAACCATATTGAGATAGCTATAGCAAATGCAGTAGAAAAAACTACGAAAGGAAGATATGAGAAGGAAAGCTAATTACCGCAAGATGATAATCACAAAACCAGAGTAAGGATGCAATTCTCAAGGTAACAATTCAACCGATACAGAGCTGTTACAATAATAGGCGAAGAGAGAACCGATGCTAATGAGATATTTGGGATGGATAACTGTAGACTAACAGCCAAGGAAAGGAGTGCTGAGAGAGGTCAGAGCTCGACTTAAGCTGACTGTCGATATAAACAAACAACACAGTTTATTAGGGTTGCAGTCAGAAAATTGGCCGGATGTTAATAAAAACACTCTTTTGACTTTGTGTCTAGCTTTCGGAATGGTTTTATTCCTTTTTCAAGATATAGTCGTTGAGATTATTTATAAAAGCATTGACACTCAACATTGATAACACACATTAAAATCATGGACAAAATACGACAGGAAGTGCGATCTTTAGAGGCCACATTAAACAAGGAAAGAGAGTCTCTCTCCTGCCTCTGTTTGACATCAAATTTAGTTGGGTTATGTTATTGTTTGTCCCAAATGTCACATGAAATCTTATTTATATTGAAGTTTTTTAACAATTGTGTCGCATTTTAGACTCTTATCATTAATAATTAATTAAAAGTTTCTCGTCTAAGACACATTCTGAAAAATATTATATAGCTACTGTTGATAAGTGTCGGAAAATTTAAATTTCGCGCATTCGCATTTCCGGATATGTCCGCCATCAGAGGCCACTTTTTTGGTCTCCTTTTCATAAGGATTAGATTCCCTCTTCTGTCTTATTGCTCGATGGTCCGCAATGACGTATAATATATAGACTACGCAGTCCCCTATTCTCGCTATAGAATCGAGTGTCCGAAAGATCTCGGCTCAAGGTTGAAGGTATGTTTATCAGAACAGCGGCGTGCTCTTTTATATGTTAATGACAATAATTATTTTTTTAATTAAAATTAAATATTTATGATTTCTTTTTGTTCCCGTCTATAAGAGAAATAATTATTTTGATAAAATAGTATGGCAGTTTACTAAAATAGTAAGTAAATAACTCTCAACAATTTAAAATAAAATTTGCTTGTCACACAAAATGGAGAAAATGTTTTCATACGTCCATGATGTTTTCAAACACATCAACTTCGTGATGCTTCGTAAGAAATCATGAACTTCGTATCAAAACAATAAACAATAACAAAGGTATTCATGTTTTGGACACTTTTTAAAGCGTTCACCGAGTCTATATATTATACGTCATTGTTTGTCCGAAATGTCACATGAAATCTTATTTATATTGAAGTTTTTTAACAATTGTGTCGCATTTTAGACTTTTATTATTAATAATTAATTAAAAGTTTCTCGTCTAAGACACATTCTGAAAAATATTATATAGCTACTGTTGATAAGTGTCGGAAAATTTAAATTTCGCGCATTCGCATTTCCGGATATGTCCGCCATCAGAGGCCACTTTTTTGGTCTCCTTTTCATAAGGATTAGATTCCCTCTTCTGTCTTATTGCTCGATGGTCCGCAATGACGTATAATATATAGACTACGCAGTCCCCTATTCTCGCTATAGAATCGAGTGTCCGAAAGATCTCGGCTCAAGGTTGAAGGTATGTTTATCAGAACAGCGGCGTGCTCTTTTATATGTTAATGACAATAATTATTTTTTTAATTAAAATTAAATATTTATGATTTCTTTTTGTTCCCGTCTATAAGAGAAATAATTATTTTGATAAAATAGTATGGCAGTTTACTAAAATAGTAAGTAAATAACTCTCAACAATTTAAAATAAAATTTGCTTGTCACACAAAATGGAGAAAATGTTTTCATACGTCCATGATGTTTTCAAACACATCAACTTCGTGATGCTTCGTAAGAAATCATGAACTTCGTATCAAAACAATAAACAATAACAAAGGTATTCATGTTTTGGACACTTTTTAAAGCGTTCACCGAGTCTATATATTATACGTCATTGTTTGTCCGAAATGTCACATGAAATCTTATTTATATTGAAGTTTTTTAACAATTGTGTCGCATTTTAGACTTTTATTATTAATAATTAATTAAAAGTTTCTCGTCTAAGACACATTCTGAAAAATATTATATAGCTACTGTTGATAAGTGTCGGAAAATTTAAATTTCGCGCATTCGCATTTCCGGATATGTCCGCCATCAGAGGCCACTTTTTTGGTCTCCTTTTCCTAAGGATTAGATTCCCTCTTTTGTCTTATTGCTCGATGCATCTTTTCCTGGTGTGTTTTAACCATCGAGCAAAAAGATAAAAGAGGGAATTTAATCGTTATGAAAAGGAGACCAAAAAAGTGGCCTCTGATGGCGAACATATCCGGAAATGCAAAGGCGCTAAATTTAAATTTTCCAACACTTATTAACAATAGCTATAAAATATTTTTCAGACGAGAAAGTTTTAATTAAATATTAACTATAATTGTCTAAAAGGTGACACAATTGGTAAAATATTTCAATATAAATAAAATTTCATGTGACAGTTGGGACAAACAATAACATAACCTAACTAAATTTGACTTCTTAAACAAGGAAAGAGACTGTCTATCCTTGTCTAAAGTGGCCTCTCAAGATGGCACTTCCTGTCTATCAATATGTTTACCCCCACTACCTTTACATTCCCTCTTTTGTCTTATTGCTCGATGGTTTTAACTCTGATACATAGAGAACAGGACCTGTTCACATATATGCCACAAGAAAACAGTTTCACAACCTTATGTAAATATTATTTATTGTATGTAAAAATTTGTGATTTATATTTGAATACATTAATTGCTAGACAAGGCTCGTCTAAGGTTGTTCTGTTTATTTTTTCTTGTTGGTACTGAATTTTATACTAAACCTGGCTGAAGACCGATATGAAAAAGGTCAGTTGTAAAGAACAATTCATTTTTCATAATGTCAACTGTCAAATTAAAATGAGGTGATGGATGACTGATGAGCAGCCAAAACAAAACATTAACAATTTAACACACCCATTTGATTACTAATAACATTTTAAAAACGGGTCTTAAAACACAATGAATTACATATATTTTCCTTTTCTTATTGTAATATTAGTGTTAGTAAACAAAAGTAAGTTTATCTTTTTTAAATAATTGTTCTTTTTAGATTAAAGAGTCATTTCTGCAAGCAGCATAAGAGTGTGATCACATCAGGCATTTCAAAATCACTTATTTATTTTTATAAGTTTATCTATCCACTCCGATCTGAGGATGCTTCATATTATAGGGGCGGGCATATCAGATTCAGTAACTTCTATGGTCATTTTACTATTATTTACTACCATTAACTGTAATATAAACATCCTATTAGGAGACTTCTGCCTTGTCCACCACTTCCTTCTAGTATACACTATTGCTTTTTTATTATTTTGGAGAAAACTACTGGAGGTGTTTTGTGCACTCAGATATAGCTTCTCTTAGTTCTCTAGGGCTGTTAAGAAACCAGGTCTGTTGGTCACAATAATTCAAATAATAAATATATGACTTGAAAACTTACAATAAGGGGTGTCAAGCACAACAACTTTAATATTCAAATATTTTGAAAAGTCAAACACAAATTACAGTTCATTTATGTAGTGTTTAATGAAGAGGAACATGCTGTCAATCTGATATGCAGCATCCAGAGAAACAAGCAATAAAGGTTCACACAAATAACACAATGAATAGCTAAACATCTAAACGAGGCAATAAAAACTTAGGCAGAACTAGGAAGTAAGATAGTGACAGCACTTCCATTGCATAATTTGCTGAACATTAGAGCTTGGAAGTGAGTGGCATGGGGCAGAAATTACATGAAGGCTTTTTGGGCTGTAGCATCATTGGAAAAACAAGAGTGTTTAATGTATTCATCACCATCAAACTCTAAACCTAGTTTATTAGAAACATTTTTAATTTTTTCTGATTTATATATTTTTTTCCTTAATTCCACATACCATTTATAGGTGAAGCAGTAAGATGCTATCAATGTGGATCAGATGAAGATGGCAAATATGAAGACAACTGTGGTGCTTATAAAAAATTTGACAAATTGAATCACATTGCTATTGAATGTAATAGTGAGGAAAGTCATATGCCTGGTTCTTTTTGTATGAAAGTTACTCAACAAAGTCCTAGAGGTTTCATTTGTAAGTATATGTAAAACTCTTTGTTTTAACACATGCAATATGTTGATTATTCAGCTGGTATTAAATTATCTGCATTTTTATGTGTAAACAAAAAATACTTCACAGAAAATAAAAGTTACAATTCATAATGTATCTTTGAAAAAGAAATTGAAATATTTTAAGATAAGTCTATAATACGACCAACATATACAATTACTTTTCAGATCAATTTTATATTATTATCAACAAACCTCAAATACAGGGTGTTCCTTAAGTAATTGTACTAAAAGTAACTGTAGATTCTACACTTTAAATTATTATGATTTAAGCCAAATTGCTTTAATAAAATGTTGATATTAAGAAAGATACAGGGTGTTAAGTGGAAATTTAAAATTTAGATTTTCGCTACTTTCATGTTTGTTATTATTTATGTATCAAAATTCATAACTGGGTACTATTGAACATCAGGAATTATAATTTGTTGCAAACTTGAATGTAGCTAATAGAGGGCGCCACATATGCCACATTGTTGTTTTCAATCCAATGTCGGCCAATGTCACCCGATATCGGATCAGGAGAAATACAGTTCCAATGTAGGTGTACACTAAAACTGCGTTGATATGGGTAGTCAATCACAAATGTGAGACACATTTTCGTAAGCTACGCTCCATGTAAACAAGTACATTTATAAAATATGAAGATTAAATTCTCTTCATGACTTGGAATTAAATTATTAACTCTTTAATTAAATTAGTATGACTTCTTTGTTGAATCCACTCCCTTTTAAACCATCATCTTTTTTTTGTCAAATTTTGTGAAATCCTGTCTGCTATCACCTCACACATAACTTTACATGCTTCTGCTTCCAAGGTCTACATATTCACCTGCATACATCCGTACCTCGGAGGTAAAGGACACTATGTCCATTTTCTTACTTTTTAAGGAGAGCAGTTTTAACATTTTTTATATTTGTAATCAGTAAATATCAAATAAACTCAAATGTTTCTGATATTTAACCAAAATTAATATATCATATTAATCAGTAAATATCAAATAAACTCAAATGTTTCTGATATTTAACCAAAATTAATATATTATATTAATTTTGGTTAAATATCAGAAACATTTGAGTATTTACTGATTACATATTTAAAAAATGTTAAAACTGCTCTCCTTAAAAAGTAAGAAAATGGACATAGTGTCCTTTACCTCCGAGGTACGGACATATTTGCTGTGTAAACTCTCTTCACAAACAAGACATGACCACTATTGTGAAGTTAAGATTTTTTTTATTTTATTTTATTTTTTGTTTTATTTAATACACGGGATAATCTCATTAACAGTTTAAATTACAATATACAATATCACAGTTAGGATTCAAAACAGGTAATATAAAATCGATATTAAAAAGTTAAAAAAAAAGAGACTAAAAATCTTACATACTAAAAAAACAAGGTATAACAAGAACAAAATTCAACAATCCCAATATACATATTGCAAAGCAAGAGATCTTTTTAATTGAGTTAAAGTTATATTGAAAATATCGAAATCGCGATCATTTAATAGCCCCAGATTCATGTATCACTAGTGTAGCTCTTGTTCATGATTCACTACCCATGTCAAAGTGGCTTTAAGTGACACATTGGTGTAAATTAAAACATATTGTAGTCATATCAACAGGGTACTCTATATCTACTGGGTATCAACTTTAGATAATGGTAGGTAGGTAGAGATAGTGCAAACACTCCTGACCACGGCACAGTAGACAAAATTTTTGTTTGCAACAGAACCTTTCTGCCTTTACGTGAATTTTGACTTGGTCTTCGCGCAGCTCCATGGTCAGGAGTGTTTAAACTATATCTAGATGGTAGGTCATTTCATTTTGCAAGCAAAGTAAGCAGTAGCAAATAAATATTTATTTCTTTTCTAGGGGACGGGAGGTGGAGACAAGTAATAAGAAGATGTGCATCTGTTGCTGATACAGGAGTAACTGGAGTATGTAATTGGGGGGTGTATGAAAATGGAATTTACTGGGAAGAATGTTATTGTTCAGAAGATGAATGTAACAGCGCACACATTACTAAACTATCGATAGTTTCAGCTATTAGTTTTATCATTTTACCAATTATGAGGTATATTTGGAACTAAAAGAAACATAATATCTTATTACTTTGTTGACTAATGAAGGTAGTCAGACAGAAAGAAGCGAAATAAATTAATATTGTCAGTAATTCTGTAAAAACGTAATATACATTAAGAGACATTATTTTTCAAATAATTTTGAATATTTTGTTTAAATACTATATTTTACACAATTAAATTTAATAAACTACCTTTTGGACTAAAAAATAATTCTTCTGTCTGGTTTTTATTCAGTATATTACAAATTTTAAAACAAAGTTTAGTTTAAGGTATATAAATGTTTTACTGACAAAATTAATTTCCAGGATAAGACCTTTAGTGTAGTCTAAAGGTGTCTTCCTCAGCCCGTTCAAAAAAGTTTAATTTTAATAGATTTTGTACAATTTTTAGATCTTATACATATAATATAACCACTTAGTTTTATTTGTTGACTTGTTGTAATGTATAAACAATGAAAAATGTGCCTTCATATATTTAGATCACATCCATTTGCCATTTTCAGTGAATATTATCAATAGGAAATTGTATCAAACTTCATAAATGAAGCAAGAGAGATAAACTGTTATTTCCATTCATTTTACCAAGTTAACTATATCACATTCCTATGTATATTGTAGTTGTCAGATGTCTGCTAATCTGACAATAATTTCGATATACTAAGAGTAGAAATTGGATGATCGTACTTGATTTAGAAATATAACACTTGACTATTTATTACAAAAATTATAGATGACACATATTGATTTAAAACTGAATCTCGTAGTTATTAAAAATACACATACAGTATTTCAACTTTTATTTGTGTTTAAAAAACTCTTTCCATTCTATTCTTTGATAAAGCAGTATCAATATTTATCAGTTATCAATAATAGACTACAAGCCCATAGGACTTTTTAAGGAGTCATTTGACCCAGCATGAAAAATGTATGGCATGTCCATTTCATATTGGCTCAAATCACCTGCCTTGTACTACTTAAAAAGACAGGAGTGTCCCCTAGATTTCTCACTCCTGTACCAGCCGATATGTACAGCCCTGTATGTATGAATGCTGTACTGTATCAAGTTGCCGAAAATGGTTCAAAATTTTCTGAAAAAAAGATTGTCTCCCTACTACTGGTATTTTTGTAAGGCATTAGGTCGCAGGTGATTATTTTAGTATTATCTACCTAGTTATAAATGCCGTACAAATATGATTGGCCAAAATGCCCCCCTCCTTGAGTGGTAAGTGTTTACTTTACCTATGTAGTCACCTGTACCGATAAAAATTGACAGGATAGTTTCTTAAAGTTTTTATTACACATTGTAGCATTGATTTACATGTGATTCATGCTGGGTCAAGTGTCCCCTTTAAATGTCCCATGGGCTTGTAGTCTATAAGCATTATTTTGTATTTATAATATATTTTCTGTGAGAAATAAATATCTAAAGTTCCACCATGATGTCAGTGGTGCTAAAATGGTATTTTGATCGGGAGAGTTGTTATACCATAGACTATATATCGTTCATCCGGAGGAAGAGGGTTACATCTCAAAAAACAATATTTTTCAGGAGAGCCAGTTTAAGTTTTATGTGAAATAAAAATATTTATTTCATTTAAATTACAGAGTGTCAAGTTACCATTTTCATTTTGTAGTTAAGATTTTATAAGTACTTTAAGATGATGTATATACATATTTCCAGAAAATTAAAGCTAGGGAGAGTTTGAAAGATGTAACTCTCTTTCCCATAAAATAACGGTTCTTTTTTTTCTAATTTGTGGTTGCATCGTAGACAAATTATGGAACCGTCTGACATTAAACCATAAAAGCAAAAAAAAATAGTTTGAGATCAACGAAATATTTATTTTAGTATTATCATACATAATTTACTTACAACTATTCGTACAAATAAACAGACTAACGCTCGAAACAAAAGGAATTTTTCATTAACATAAAAATAGTTCACAAATTTTTGTAAAAATTAATATAATAAGGGGGTACGCAATGTTTTTTTTCAATTAACGATAACAATCCCTGTTTTTTTGCATCGGTTATACCAGGTTTTACAGAAAATGCTTTCTTGAGCTCGATTTTATTAACATCAATTTGTTTTCTTGAATTTATAATTTGTACCTCATTGTAATCCGATTGTTCAAAGGAGGTTTTGTAAAAAAAGATCCCAGGGTGATTTTTTTCCAACTTATACATTTTGATATTATTCAGCTTTACATTATTAGGTAGGTTTACAAATAGTTCCGATGTTAAAGCTTTAAGATCGTAAATGTCAGTGTGACATAATTCCTTTAGTTTATACGCTGTACCTTTCTTTTTTGAATTCCTAATTATGCAGGCATATTGATCTGGAGAAAATATAGGGCCGGATTTTCTAAATTTTTTAATCTCCTTCTCTATTAGAGCATGCATGCTATCCCCTTCATTTTGTGAGTGGCCAGGTATAAAAAATTTGTGCGTTATAGAGTTAATGTTAAAATGAGAGATTGCGTAGATAAACATAGCTATTATGAACCTATTTTTATTTTGCCCAACACAATTATCGGAATAAAATATAATGTCAAGTTCATCCTTATTTTGTTGGGCTAAATCTTGAAGATAGGTTAAAATGCATGTACCAATTTCATTGGCACCTCTATTAGCCTCCCCTTCATGCCACATAAAACATGAGCCCTTGTTGCATTTTATATCGTATAAAGTAAAGTTTAATACGTTAAGTTTGGACACGTAATAAAAACACGAAGCGTCTCCGATCGGACACGGCAACACTGCCTGCAAATCAAATACCACTACTTTAGTTTTGTCATCACTGTTCTTATCTTTTTCCTTTTCTTTCCTACTTAAATCCTTCTCTTTTATATGTTTTTTATATTTTTCTTCCATATCCTGTTTGTGCTCATCATTACAATTTCTATATTGTACACATTCTTCACACTGATCTTTTTTGGGTAAATGTAAAGCCAAATTAAATTCTTCATTGAATATTTTACTATACATGACATAGTTAGCACAGGGAAGGTTCTGCTCATTACATTGTTTGGTATAATCCCTGTGCAAGTCTGCAATCGTTTTACTTCCATCGATATATTCCTTACTGGTGTTGGCCCTACAGTAATGGCTTTCAATGCGTGGGATACTGTTGATGTGATTCCTTACATTATTTTTTACATTTTCACTAATTTTATGGTGATTCCCATGTCTTCCTCTTTTGTCCTTTTCCAATACCCTGCCGCTGTCACATAAATTCAGCTTCCTTAAAACTGTACTAATGACTTTATGGTTAATTGCTAAGGTAGCCATGAAAAAAAGTTTGCAAACACGAATTGCTTTATGATTAATTAAAAAAAAGTAGGCGTTATTCGGTTTTCTGGGATTCTGTGCATTCGTGTATTTATAACGCGGTGTTACAGTTTTCGTATTGGATAATATAAATTCTCTTTGCTTTTCAATATCTTGCATATTCCAATAGTCGTTAAAAATTTTTTCTCGCTGACCCGGCAATATTTTTTCTGAACATTTTAACTTGCATTTTAAGCCACAAGGTGGCAAGAGGGATCTCTTTTCCTTAGTTACTTTGCTTTTTACGGTTTTGCCATCTTCCGATTGAATCACACGCGTATAAGTATACTCTTGGCCACTATTTCGCAGCTTTTTGTTTACTACTTTTTTCCACGTATCCGGATTTGTAATTCTCTTTCTAGTTGGTTTAATGTTTTCAGATTGGCGATTTTCTACTTTTCTTTTTTTAGATTTAGGTAACTGTAGCTTGTCTTCTTCACGTTCCGAAGAGCTACTATCAATTGACGAATCAAAATTAGGATCCTTAACGCTATCATCTTCAGAAAAAGGTTCATTTCTAGAAACTTCGGAACAACGAGATCTGGAATCAAGGCATGAAGATGATTCAGAATCTGACGATGAATCCGATGACGAATCTGAGGATGATAGGGTATTTTTTTCTTGCAAATCTAAAAAGAAAAATATAAAGTTTGGAGATATAAACATATTATGTAGCTTAAACTAACAGTCTACAGTAGTCTCTATTTGCTTAGTCCCAGCAATAGTGCAAATGATATTTTCTAAATATAAAGTAGGCGAAATTTTTAAAACCTACTTTGACTTACCGTTAAGAGTAGTATCTAGTAGTTTATTTTTGGAGCTATTTAATTCTATAGGAATATTAATTTTCAGAAGATGTTCTCTTTGAATATTTACACCTGTAATACAAATAAATATTGAAACATTAATTAACCTTGGAGAAAAGCTCTGGCTAACTTACCATGATTTTCCTTCAAGTACAAAGAAGAGGTTTCGCTTTCTGAAATCGAACTTTCAATTTGAGTTGGTACTAAATTGGTAGTACTACTTTTTGACTCAGCGGTGGTTACTAATAAAAAAAATACAAGTAAGAATCAATATAAATTATTTAAAAAATCCACTTTTTTACCTAGATTATTTTGGTCAGCTACGTGGTGCCACTGATCTGACGACTGATCTTTTACCAGACTCATAATTAGATTAATACGATTCATTTTTGCACCCTAAAAATAAATCGACCTTAATAATGTTTCTATTAACGTGTAAAAATTGATACTTCCATTCTTTTACCAGCGAATACTAAGTTGCAATAAATAAAAGTAATTAAGAATACTGCCGCAATTTTTAAGAACACAGTTTTATTTGTATAAGTAAATTACTTATCTAAATAAACTAGCATTTTGTATAACTATATTTTAGTCAATAGGGTTACATTTCAAAATACAAATAAAATCCAAAACAAATAAACAATAATGCTTACAATTAGTGTATTTAAGAAAGTTACATTTAGAGATGTAACCCTCTTGAAGTGGAATGTAATTATATGTTTTGGTTTCATATCGAATTGTCACCTTATTTCTTAAATAAAACTTATAAAAATGTCTACTTACTCGTATTAAAAATCGTTACAACACAAAATGCACCTCTTTTTAATCTACAGCGCACACGGGTTCTCGTTATATCACAAAATGTAACCTTCTTCGTGAACAAACTTGAAGCACACACTGTCAAAGTCGGTAACAAACTAAAATGGAACCTTGTTCTTGCGAATTGTGGCGCCATCTATGTTAATTCGGTATAGTTACAACTTCCATCTCGTGGTGTTTACGTGCAAACTCACTTGTACCCTTCTTTCCCTTAAAACTACAGTAAATTTTAGGTACATTGAGATAAAAAAACAAAAATTGACAATTTTCGAGATGTAACCCTCTTCTTCCGGATGATCGATATGTATTAAAATTTATCTGAACGCCTCCAGATCTTAATCTGATTTTAAAATACAATTTGTAAAAGTTAAACAAACCACCGAATTTTGTTACATTGAATAATTAGCAATTTAGTTCTAATAATTTAATTTTATATGCCTCATTTATAATAAATTCATATCATGTTTTACATATTCTGAATTTTAAGATGACATTTATCAAATTTTTGCAATTGTATTTTGATGTAGTGGTCTGAAGTCTGAACTTCAAATCAAAAATGTGTTTGAAATTGAGGTTAATTCAAATTTATTTAGTAAAGAAAAGCTAAAGTACCACGACAAAATTGTTTGGGAATGTTATTAAAAAAATCTGAAATAATGTTAAATGCTGTGTAGTATTCTAGACCTCATAGAATTGCATGTTTCTTATGAAAACTATTAAAAGTAGTTTATAATTGTTCAGATCACATGGACTCTGTACAATTCTAATAGACACTTACAGAAAATATATTTTACGAGATGGTGCCATGTTTTATTCCAAATTTTTTTAATATATTTGTATACAATATTGTATATATTAATTTTCAATTGTAAAATATACAGAAATCACATAGAATAATATTGTTTGTGACCTTATTTTGGATAAACGCTGGGACCCATCAACTTTTAAATTCAAAAGTGCGGTTTATAAACATAAATTTAAATGTACAGGGTCATTCATGCAAGTCTAGCATGTCCGTAATCTTTAATAAATACTCTCTTAAATTAAAAACTGTTTAAGTGTTATCTTATTATCTATTAGGGTTGTAATTCCGTCTCTTTTATTATAGTTTTTTTTTATATAGAAATCATATTTCCGTCCATTTTTTTATTTTTTATATATGTTATATTCTTTTAGAGCACTTTATACATTTGCTAATAAAATTGTATACTAACATTGTGATATTTTTTGTACAGTTTTCATTCTCTCTGATACCTAATACACCTTAAATGATACCTAAAAGTCATACATCAAAGTAAACGAAATAATACCTAAAATAAAACAAAGGTTTAACGAAAGAATCAGCAATGAGAACGCAAAAGCGGAAAGCGTTCATATGCGTTTCACGTTGTGCGTCCTGTGTAAACATGATTTTAATAGACCTTAGTTATCAAGCCTCAACAAACTTAGGTCACCGCAGTTTCCACACATATACTTACAGATGGCACTCGTTTTTCGGGAATTCACAGCTTTATGCTGTAGACCAGGGTTGTCCAACTGGCAGGCCGCATCCGGCCCGCGGGGCAATTTGTTGTGACCCACGTAAGATTTTCGAAAAGCATATATTTTCTTTAAATGCTGCCGCTGTGAATAAAAGATTTTTTAATTTATTTTATATTTTATGGTTTAGCAGTGTTTTTACATCACAAGTACTGTGCCGCTTCGCGAACGTGTAACGAACACAATCGTCCTCCACCAAAATGAGAACTGCACTGATTCCTGCGCATCACAGTTCACGCAGGCCACATATCCCACTGCTTACCATCCGTCGCCAGCCGCCATCGTGCCAGTGTGCTACTTGCATTAATCTTAAACACTTTGTTGCTTTTGACTACAAAAGCAGTAAAATTATTAATAATAAATCTACAGTCAACACAACACACAAGGTCTTACAACTACTGTGTACTGTAAAGGATGGAATTTACCCGACCATTACAATCATTGTACGGCTTGATAATCACTCGGTAGATATTAAAAATTTTGCAATGTTGTCAATATATGGATGATCACAGTAATATTGTTTATTTTTAGTTTGATATCTGAAAAAATTGAGTTTCAAATAATTTACACATTTAATGACTAAAAGGATAAGGGAATAATTTTGGTGAGGTATGATATACACAAGATACCATGGACAGACAAAGTCACCAGTGAAGAAGTACTGCGGAGGATGAACACAACCGCGGATTTGGCCAACATTGTGAAGAGCCGTAAGTTGGAGTATTTGGGACATATAATGAGAAATCAAGGCAGATACGAGCTACTCCAATGCATTTTGCAGGGTAAAATTGAAGGAAAAAGAGCCCCAGTACGAAGAAGAATATCCTGGCTTGCTAACCTGAGAGCATGGTATAGAAAGACCTCAACACAGCTATTTCGTATAGCAACCAACAAAATCATCATAGCCAGAATGATCACCAACGTTCGGAACGGACAGGCACCCTAAGAAGAAGAAGAATGATATACAGTGTGTCCCATAAATTGTATACAGATGAAGAAATGTTTATCTTATGTTTTACAAAAAAAGTATTCTTGATAAAAAGATCAGTTTAGAAGAAAAACAAAAATAATGAATTGATTAAAATATAATATTTACCAAACAATAAATAATTATGACATGTTTTTATTATAACTTTTTTATTAGTTTTTATTATATCATATTTTAAATGACGTTTCTTTATTTATTTTGTTAATTACATTTTAAATATACTTAGTAAATTATTTAGTTTAGTATGATATACTATATATATATTATATTACATAAACGACGTTTTTACCGATGTTTGGAGATCCGGGGTTTAGAGATCCTCGGTATTATTATTATATTCTTCATCATCAGAAAAATCCCATTCCAAATGAACCTTGTTCATATCTCTTAAAGTTATGACAATTTTTTCCATTGTTGCTAGTTGAACCAAAATTCCTAACATTTTTTTGCATGGTTGCATTTTCATTAATTTACTTTCTCTTTTATTTTATTTATTATAATGTAATATTAAGTAAAATTTATAGTATAGATAATTCAGAATGTCGTGGACCTGACGTCATTATTTAGTGACGTCGATCTACGGATGAAACAACGAAATCAGGCATTGCTAAAAACATTGAATTCTCTTCGGTGCGTTATCTTAGCGAGACAGAGACGAACTAGTTTTTTGCGTTACTGAAGTAGCTTTAATATTTTTGTATTTTTGTGATCAATCGTTTTTAATATTTTATAGTGAGATACTATTTATGTTCAGTGCGTTTCAAGTCGTTTTTAACATTTTACAGTGAGATCCTAAAAATGTAAGTTAAATTATGTTTATTTTAAAATAATTTATATGTTTTGTACACTTATGACAAATTAATAAATTAAAAAAATCACTTTTAAAAGTGTGTAAAATCTGATAACTTTATTGTTTATTTTAATATTTTTTGCAAAAGATTGATATGTTTTGTAAAATCTTGTCATAAATTAATAAATTAAAATGAAAAGTGTTTTAAAAGTGTGTAAAGCATTTAGTTTCTAGAATGTATAAAGCCAAAGGATCTTAGCTAGAAATTAAATGCTTTACAAACTTTTAAAGTACTTTTCTTTTCAATTCATTTTTTTAATGTTTTTCTTAAACTTAATCAATATTTAACATTTTATCTATTATCTAAAACCTACCGGTTTTACAGGGAAAGTAACAATAGAAAAGTGGTCCATGGACAAGGGAGGCAAATTATTTTTAACGTTTATTCATTTATGAAACGGGAAAAAGATTTGGGATATTGCACAACTCCTTTACCCCTAATAGTGCGAGTGTATCTCAACTTCACAATTTGTATCACCCAGAACAAGTATTTGCAAGCCCAGCCCCAAGTCATCAGTCAATCCATTTGAGGAACACGTCATAAGAAATACCATTTACACGTTTGCTACCATCTACAAAAGAAGACCTACCATGAAAACTGTTTACGAATCTGTTAGAAAACGAAGGAATTGTAACTGGTAAACTATCTTCTTTCAGAAAAATTGTGAAAAAATTAGGATTTAGGTGGAGAAAAGTGGAAGACAATAGAAAAATTTTAATTGAAAAAACTGACGTAAGAGCCAAATAAACAGAATTTCTAAGAAAACTGAAAAAATACAAATCTGAAAGTAAGATATTTATTTATTTACATTATAACTAATTTTAAAGTAATTCACAATTTTTTTAGATAGAAATATTGTATATAGTGACACGAAACTTATATACATAGTTCCCACACAGTTCCAAAAGGTTGGGATGATGGACGAAACAAGTACATAACATCTCCGGTATCTAAAGGGCAACGACTGATCATCTTACATTGTGGTGGTAAAAATGGATTTGTCGAAAATGCCGCTTTTATTTTCAAATCCGGACAAAAAACTGGTGATTATCATGATGACATGAATCACCAGAATTATATGAAGTGGTTGAAAGACAAACTTCTTCCCAATTTACGTTCCAAGTCAGTTTTAGTAATAGACAACGCCTCATATCATAATGTGACTCTTGAAAAATCTTATACATCGGCTTCGAAAAAAAAAAAATCATAAAAGAATGGTTGACAAAAAGAAATAGATATATTTTTCGATGAAAGCGAAACAAAACAAGCTCTACAGTAAGATACTCATTGCTAAACCTAAAAACCCAGTATATGCTGTAGACCAATTATTAGCACAGCACGGCCACTCAGTTTTACGTTTACCACCATATCATCCGGAACTTAACCCAATTAAAAGATATGGGCCATTTTAAAAAATGAAGTTGCAGCAAGAAACACGACTTTTAAATTAGCAGATGTTTTAGAACTAGCAAAAATTAGGCCAAATGAAATCACGCCAGAAATATGGGCAAATACTTGCAGGCATGTTGATAAAGTAGAAGAGTACTTCAGCCGAGAATACATTCTGGATGAAGCGCATGAGATCATTATAAATTTAGATGATGATAGCGAATCATCTGAAACAGAACTCTCTGATAGCGACGACGACGACGGCTACAACAATGACCTATGAATACAAACATATCAAGGTGGCAAGCTCGGTATTCCGTCCCTCCATGTATATTTTTTAGTTCTTTTAACATTTTATTAATTATTTCATTTCTTATTTAGTTTTAATTAACGTGTATGTGTGTGTCTTATCGTGCGTAACCTAACACTCCGTCTCTATGTAGATGCCGCATTAATATTCTTAAATACTAGAGACTATTCCGGTTGCACAGTCAAATTGAGTATATAATATCAGTACCATCTAGAGAGTGTCATATAACCCCATAAAAGTAAATAGTTTATCACCCTCCATCCAAGTACAAGAACGAAATTCCAGTTTTCAGTCCAGCGCGCTAAAGAAAGAAGAAGAGAGATATAGCCTTCATTATTGAAGGTAGTGTACATTTAATTTAAATACGCAGACAATTTAATTACACAGATTTTGGATCATTCTCAATAAAAAAGGTTAATTGTAATTTTTCTCTGAAGTTGATCGATTTCAACTTAAACAATTTAAAACTGAAAACAAAAAGTCATGATTTTTAAAGCTCTAAAACACAATTATTTTTGAATTCACCAAACCTTGTTTTATCAGTTCCCGATACTTTAGTTTGGGATTATTTGATTTTAAAACATTGTTTTTAGTTGTTTGAGGCCCTTATCCCAATGTAAAAATGAATTTATACAAAACTATTCAATAAATTAGGACCACTTAATGGGCGACATCTTGAACAGTTTATTCTGCAGTTTTTATGAAAGTGATTATGCAAAAAATTTCATGCGGCAAAAAAATCTCATGCGAATACTTTTCCCAAGGAAATTTGTTGTTTTCGTCTCGTATATAAACATATTTTGCTGAATTTAAATCCAAACTCCTATTATTTTTCTATCATACATTTATTTGTTATTTATTTATTTGTTCTCTAGATTTTTTTCAATTCGTAAAAGGTTTATTTACAAGCCAAATTAGTGCAATGTAAATATTTTACATGTTTACACAGCAATTCTTATCGGCTGTGAAGATGGGAAGTCGTAAATTTTTATAGCTAAAATAAAAATGCGATGACTAACTGGAATGTTTAAGATTAGAGAAACATAATATGTTATGTTTATTGGAAATACTCGACATTATTAGCACGTGCAAATCCTACCCTGTCGCCCAATTTCTTATGAAATTAAAATGGTGCATGTTTTTAGGATCCATTTATTTTTTCGGGCATGCGTATTTACGAGGTCCACGACATTCTGAAACATCTTTAACAAAATTGACCCAGGATCAATAACCTTGTAATTGAGACACACGACACTTGAGTTTTAACCTTGTTTAGGCTTGAGCCTCTTCAAGGATGAGGTACTCCTTTTATTTGTCGGAGTAGTGGGGGTGTGGTAAACGTAAATTACTGAGTTGGTTGAGAAGTAGTGGACTACTAAGAAGTAGGAGGGTTCAGGCCTGTGTGCCAGACCTGATCGAATGCCTTCTGGACGTCTAGGAATATGCCTATGACGTGTTTCTTTTCGTTAAGAGATTGTGAAATGCAGGTTGTTACTTCAACCAATGCATTTTGCGTGGAGTGTCCAGCCCTGAATCCGAATTGGTAATCTGGAATTGCAAAGTGAGCGTCTAGGAATTCTACGAGTCTTTCCTTAAGGATCCTCTCTTAGACTTTACCTAGGGTGCTCAGTAGCGAAATAGGTCTGTACGATTCAGGGTTGTGAGCGTTTTCCCTTTTTTGGGGATCATGACTATGCTGGCTACCTTCCATGGGATTGGAAAGTAGCTCAGTTGAGAAACAATAAACTAAATAAAGAATAAGGTTGTATGTGATGAAATTGTGTATATTTACTTAGTAGAATATTCAATTAGCAGTACAAAAACAAAACAAAATTAGGAATTCTCTTATTCTCATAATCCCCGAAAACTATTAACAACCATCAGATTCACAGTCATAATCACTGTCGTCCCTATCCCCATTGGGATGGTAAATTATAACAGGGTTAAATGCTTCGATATGCGACTTTCACGAATCCACCATTCTTCAATTAAGACTTTTTTTACACATTTTTCCTGTGGATGCTAAAACTTAAATAATGAGTCGAAATATCGCAAAATTAAAAAATATGACATACAACATATGAAACAATACGTATTTTATTTATTTTGATTGTATCTAATAATTTTATAATTATAATAACATTGTCAAACTAGATTACAGGTATTCAAAAGTAAAAGCATTAATATTCAGTTCATGGTGACATATTAACTACACGTCAGTTGCCATTGTCATGTAATTATCATTTAGATTAGAACTAAATATCGAGTTTTCCTATAAAAATGTCATATTTATCTAAAGAAGCTATTAATCCATCTTTGTTTGTCACATCGATGTCATTGCTATAATCTAACTCGGCACCAAACTTGTTGACCATCTTTCCACCCAACGCATTAATAACAGCATTTCCTGCACATATGTCCCACTTTTTGATAGCTGTTGTATGTATATAAGCATCTACTTTCTTCTTTGCTACTTCTAAAGCTTTATAACCTAAAACAATAATAATTATACATTATACAAAAATATATATATATATATATATATATATATATATATAATATATATATTATATATATATATATATATATACATATGTGAGTGGTGAGTTAAAATTTATTTTTCTAATTTCACTTTGTAAGATTTTTGTATTTTTTAGAAGCTCTTGATAAAGATTGTAAACACAATTGAAAGCTTGACATAAAGATTAGTTTACCAATAGCCCTTTTATTGACTCCAACCCATAAAAAACATATTTATATATTTTTTCCAAACGTGTCACAAGTACTTCTTTTTTCTTACTCTATATATATATATATATATATATATATATATATATATATATATATATATATATATATATATATATATATATATATTAAAATTTTGTAAAAACCTTTGAATTGTTGAATGACTTGCAATTGGTGTATTGGGATATCTTACGCTAAATAACTGACTGACAATTCGCGCACTATTGCCTGAATAAAACATTTTTATTATTGCTACTTTCTCCTCAACTGAGTACATTTTTTAATCAACTTTATTGGTTTTTAAACAAAAAATCACAAAATACGAAATTTTGGCAATTCAAATATTGTCAAATATTAGAAACATCAATGTGACCAAACGAAACATGCCATACACATTGTTTAAGGGGTGGCCTGACAAATGTATTATATTGTTGCAAAATTTTGGAATACGTTTAATTCGTAGAACAATTTTAACATTTGTTTTCGATACAGATTTCAGTCCTCTACAAATAGTTTTTTTTACTTTTGGTGTAAAATAATTAGGATTTAAATAATTAGAAATTATTGGAAACAGGATTTCAACAATTTAGAATTTTTCATTGAGTTTCCTACGGCCCGTTTTTGTCTTTTCTTCATTTATTTTTAGTTCTCTAATTTTCGCTTCTACTATCAGAGTTCTTAATGCGTTTTTTAAGTTTTTTTATCTCTTGAGGCTATTATTATGTCGTCAGCGTATCCGATAATTTGTGTAAAGCTTTATATGATCATCTTCTTCATCTCAGTTTTTTAATCTTTACGTCCAGTGCTATTTTAAAAAGTATACTAGAGAGTTCGACCTTGTCGAACTCCTACTTATATATTAATAGTTACTGTATTTTCCCTTTCTGTTACAGCTTCTGCTACATAGTTGTCCATTGTCATTTTCGCTAATCTAATCAGTTTTGCATTTCGAGTAAGAGTTGGTGTCTATTTACAGAGTCAAAGGCTTTTTTATATTCCTCAGTTTTTGTTTTTCCATTATTTTTTCTTTAGTCTCATTATCAATTGGTTCAATTAGCCTATTAAATATTGCCACTTTTTTGCACTGCAGAGAAATTATGCTCATATATTATTTTTCGCTCATAGTTTAAAAGCATATTTCTTAAAAAAATCGGTATAAACATAGGTGAAAATGTATCACACATTTACTCAACACAATGCGCTGTTGCCTAATGCAAAAGTAATTATTGTAAGTTATAATTCCACAACAAAATTTTAGATAATTGACAGTAAAATAAAGCTGTACACTTATCACAAATATTGGTAAGTTTTACCTAACTGTAGTAATACAATATTCAAAATATAGATACTTACCAGCACCAGCTGCCGTTATAATTTCTACTTTTTGTTTAAAATTATTTTGAAGAATTTTTTCCACATCACCTTTATGTGAACGAGACACTATTACTTTTATACTAGGACTTTTATTTTCAGGTTCCTGGAAAGAAAATATTTATATTTTACATGATAACACAATTTTTATGGTAAATGATTACAACAGTCTTTATACAGGACTGTTCAAAGCAGAGCAATAATTATTATAAATATCGATATCTTCTAGTCTCAGTTTTTTATAAGGTTTTATAAACATAATATGATCACATCGCCTCAGAATCTACGTTTCATAAATAAATTATATTTTTCTTTTTAAATTAGTGAATCATGTTAATTACTATTTATAACTGGGAATAAGCCACAATTAAAGATAAAAATACGTTTATTGACGTTTCAATTTCCAATTTCAACAACATTCAAAACAACAAACACGTTGAGATCTATTTTGTCCAAAACCAAACCTAACAATGAACAAGAAAGGACAAAGAATTGCATTTATAAAATACCTTGTAAATGCGATCAGTTTTATTTAGGTGAATCATCAAGGCCATTAAATGTTAGAATAAGTGAACAACAATCTTATATTAAAAATAGAGAATTTGATAGATCTCAAATATGTAAACACGCATGGGATAATGAACATAGGGTTCAATGGAATAATTCAAATATAGTCCTAAAAGAAACGGATGGTAAAAAAAGAAAAATCAAAGAAGCGGCTCTAATTATGCTAAACGAGGCCAATTGTGTCGCAAATTCCTCGGCAGAATGTAGTAGGATCTGGTTACCAATATTGAAAGAGGAAGTTATTAATAAGAAAATACCAGTATTAGTAAGTCAGTAACATATAGAGGATACATCATTTATGTTTTTTAAAAATAACGTAACATATAAAATCAGAATTTTGATGTTTGTTGAAGGTAAACTAAATTCACGAACAAATACTTACAATGTCGGGATAGTATTATGAGGTTTTTTTCCTGGTTTTTCCCTCATAATTTACTATGGAATCACTAACAGGAGAATTTTACTGTCATCATGTCATGTGTTTGTCTTTTTAAAGACGAATTACATGCTATGATTTTTTCTGACGGATATTCTCAAGTTAAAGTTGATTTCATGTAATCGAATGAACTATCTTATAAGTAAAGTCGTCCCAGGAGCGCAACTCAACAATATTGGCAATATCATTTTAAAGTCGTCTACTTTAAAATGCATAATGTATGTCTGAATTGTCAATATAAATGAGTCAGATAAAATTAAATTATTAGAAGAATTTTTTCACTATGTAACAAAAAACAAAATTTGTTTAATTTACTGTTTGTATTTTGAGAACGATTTCCGAATTGGAAATTGAAACGTCAATAAAACGTATTTTTATCTTTAATTGTGGCTTATTCCCAGTTATAAATAGTAATTAATTTACAATGCCACAAGAAAATAGCTTCAGAACAATATTAGTGAATCATGATAACACAGTGATAAAGGTTGATGATTGACAGCAATGATTTAAGACATATGCTAAATATTATTTTAAAAGTAGACTCTCAGTCGTCGCCGGACTATCCGTGTAAATGTTTGCAGTGCAATTTTAAATTTGCAGCGGATTTTAAAAATATGAAAGATAAAGAGAGGTATTTAGAGCGGTTGAGGATAAGAAAATATGTGCAGTTCTATTAGGAGCTGTACGATATTCGATCATTACGCGGACAGGGAGGAATGCAAAAAAGACGATCGAGCTGCAGCAATTTTCTGAGTTTCCGTGGAAGGTACCAATTTAAATAATAGACGTCAAATAAACCGGCAAAATATAAAATAAAAATTCGGTGCCTCACAGATGAGCGAAACGACCATTTATACACTGGGTATATCTATTGGAAGTAGATATACCCACTGTATACTGAAAGTCTATCTTATTACTGAAATCAAACATCGTCTATCCGTACAGAGGCAGGAGAATCCGATATCAAAATCAAACGTGAGATCCGACAGGGATTTATACTATCACCTCTCTCAATATAATAATCTTTCAAAAAACAGTAGAGAACGTTCAAGCCGGAATTCGAATGAAGATACTATTACCGTCTGGAATGCTAAAAAATGACACATTTGTCTTCGAACGTCGACATGGCCACCTCTTCCTAAATGTTCGACAGCCATATCTAGGTTCAGTGTATGCCTTTTCTCTTTTCAACCCTACCAAAATAGTATTCGAGGTCTACTTGATTTGCTTCCCGGTCTGTTTTATGAGGGTTACGAGTTTGTTGAAGATCTGACACATGTCATTTTTTAATAGTTCTAGTCATGCACATCGTGGCCACTGTTATTATAAATTATAAATTCCATATCAAATTGGCGTTTGTGCTGCCTCAGGTCAGGTGGTATGCATCACAATCGATGATCAGTTGCAGTCCACTTACACTACAATCTCTTACTAGCCATTACATCTCCCTTGTTGGTGGTTGTTTGGAGTCATCATGTGGAAGATATGCTGATCCAAGACTTATGTCCTTCATACCCTCCCCCTCTGTGATTTTTATCTTACTGTCTTTAAATCCCTGGAATAGAATTCATCAACAGCAATATTTAAATATGTCGTTTGACTATTATATGAGTCCCCGGGACTATGTTGAAGCTACATTGAATATTCTCATAACATAACAGCTCATAAATTGTCTTACTACACTGGAGATCAGCCTCCAGGACTCTGGAGCTATCGAGGCCTCTGATGGTATTGAACAATACCTTTCAACTCTGTAATTTGCCTTGAAATAAAATTCTAGCTAAAAGCTCAGTGAGAGTCCTCATCAACAGAAAGACTAGAATGTGTGCACCTTTCCTGATCTGCTGATTTCTCAACAACCAGTCTTTCGTCTTCAGATCTTGATTTTGTTTTCTTATGCAGGTTCTGATGATTAATTCATCAGTCTCTTTCTCAGGGACACAAGTGATGACTATTGGGTGATTAGGCATATTATTGGGATAGATAACAGTCAAGTCTACTTCCTCTCACAAGCTCTCTATAGCCCTCACCAATTTAAGAGCCAATTTTTTAGTAAACTCATTAGCACAGTTCACCCACAAGGTCCACATGATCCACAAGGTTCCTGCGCTAAATGTTTATAACAGACAGCTTACAGAAAACAGAAATAATGTTTACAATATATGCCTTTGTTCAATCAGCTTCTCCAGCATCAAAGATAAATATTGATAAGTAATTACAATAAAAAATTGATATGCGAAACCATTATACCCTTCTGATTTAAAATAGGAAGGAATAAGAGGGAAAATATTTATAAAAAAAATAATCACTTGTTATTTGATTTGGTGTTCCAAATAGTGAAAAATATGGACTGAAAATAAGCAGCAAACAATTACCTAGTCAATGTTTAAATATAACGCAAAATGGATATATTATAAACAAAAATTCAAGCCAGAGGAGGTATAGTCGGCACGTAATTTCGTGAGAAAATTTACAGAGACCAAAACAAGCAAAATACTAGTAAAATGGCAACGCTGTTAGAGTTACCACTCCTTTATTGTAGTACATAGTAGTGTAACAGTAGCGTAGATATCTAATTTTAACACCTTGACTGCGTCACGTATCCCCAGGGGCATGTGCGTAACTTTTCAAGTGTGCTGTAGCAAAATTGGTCAAAACGCCGCCTCGTGCGGTAGCGATAAAAATGTTATTTGTATATCGTTTTAAGTGTAACAAATAGCCATCGATAACAAATTTTTAATTCTCGCTACTGATAACCGTAATATGAGACATGCCCCAGAGACACGTGCCGCCCATAAACAAAAATTTATTATTACCATGCGTCACAGAACCGAGGGCATGTGTCATTCTTTTCAACTTGTCGGTGCCTGTCACTGTATTATATATATATATATATATATATATATATATATATATATATATATATATATATATATATATATATATTCAGTTTATTAGAGTTCATTAAGTGTGAGCAGTACTTGTGAAAATGTCGAAAAGGGCAAGATATATGGTGGACATAGTGAAACAAAAGATGATAGAAGTTGCAAATGAGCAAACAATTAGTGATTGTAAAAACTTTGGAGTGAGTTCTGAAACGAATACTATGTTAAATGAATTAAATGATAATACAGGGTTCATTGAAAGTTATGAAAATTCTAATAATGAAAATGAACAAGAGTTAATACAGACAGAAATAGTAGAACACGAAATGGAGAATGAGCAGGGGAATGAACACGATATGGAGACCGAGCAGATAGCAACTCAATTTTCATCTGATACTGACAGTATCGAAGATCCCTATGACAGTAACGATTCATTACTAGATAAAAGTTATTTACCTAAATCTTCATCATCCTCCGATTTAAATGCGTCTATTGATAGTGATGGCGAAATTATTACTACAACATACGTGCAAGTTCTATCTGTTAATAATGAACAGAGTTGAGAGTAGTGATAGTGCTGAATGGTGCGATTTAGAAGAAGATATAGATGGTGACGATTTTGTAGTAAGAAAGAATACATTAGTTGATATTGAACCACGTGCAGTACAGAAACCAATAGATATTTTTAATCATTTTATAACAGATGAAATATTGGATATCATCGTTAATGAAACCAACAATTATGCTGTTCAAAATTAAGTATGCAACACTCAAGAAAATCCAGATTAAATTCATGGACAGCCACGAACAAAACTGAAATAAAAACCTTCCTAGGGGTAATAATCGCAATGGGTTTCACTCAGGTACCACATATAAATTTATATTGGTATTTTTGAAAATAATGAGACATCTGATACAACTAATAGATTATACAAAATAGAAAATTTAGTTACAAAGCTGATTCAAAATTTTCAAAGAATAATGGAGCCTGGCAACATTCTCGTTATAGATGAATCTATGGTACCTGTTAGAAGGAGACTCCATTTTCGTCAGTACATCCCTAACAAGACTCATAAATATGGAGTGAAATTGTACAAACTCTGTTCACCTGAAGGCTATACTTTCAATATAAATATTTACATAAGGAAAAATGAACAACAACCAGTTAATGTGGCACACTCTGAAGCAGTTGTTCTAAAATTACTTCAGTGTATCACA